ACCTCCGCCAGCTTTTCGTCGTCTCAACCTTTCTGGTGTAGGCACTATCCTTCCTCTCGCTGCGTTCTGCCTTCGGTTGCCAAGATGCTCCAAGGTGAAAGTCATTCGAGGAGTGGTTTTTATTCGGCTGAATGTCTTGCCAACAGGAACTGGGGGCTCAGACAGTGCATCTGGTTTTTAGAACCACGACTGTCATATTCTTTCATTGTACTCGTAGGGTCAGCTCATTCTTCAGGATGGGAATGACGGAACTTGAATTTGTCTAGTTTACTTTGATACAGATCAAAGCACGTTCCCGTATACCGTCAAGGGTGGTACAGTGGCACTGGCTGCTCAGAGAACCTGCTGGATCATCATAGCCTAGGGTAATGACCAGGGATAGCTATCCTTGGTCAATAGCATCTGCGGATTCAGGCACTTGTTTTGCTTCGGAGTGGCTCTCCTCCTCCCCGTGCAAAGCAAGGAGGTCACACCCGTCCCTCGTACGAGTCGAAGCCTCACCTTGTCTGCTGTTCACCCTGGCTCGCTCAGACTTGTCTGACTTGCACTCCGTTCGCAATGAGGGCGAGTCTGATCCCTTGGATGCTCTCCTTCTTTTTGATAAGCGAACTTCATCCTTTAATGCATCCTGGTGCATCGTCCGCAGACCAAAAGGATTCGTTGAAAGTCCAAGCTCCATCAGAATCAACACTCTGTACCTCTGAGCTCCCTGTACCACTCTGTGGAAAGTGTGCCAAGGTACGTCATCATTTTTCCTCCAGTGTAACAGCAACCAGCTCTCCTTCCCGCCACGAGGTAAAATCCGCTCACTCTCGAACTTTCTCAGCTTTGGTGCCATGAAAAACAGCAGGTCGTGCCCATGCCTAGATAACTTCTTCACAATCTTTTTCAGCTGCGATGCACTAACCGCCTGTCTCCGGTTCTTGAACTCTGCACCTCCCGATTTTCTACTTCCATCCTGACCGACGGGACTGTAGAAGATTCCGTCCCGTCTCTGACTATTTTTGCAACGCATGTAGCAGCCGTACGCTGTACTTTCATTTACGTGCTCTTCACCAATGCGAAGGGGAACAAGGTTCGAGAAGCACGAAGTCAAGACTTGACGAAATCCCTCTGCAGCTTCTTGATTCTGCACCCTCTCAAGAACGTTCATAACCTTGCTCTTTACCTCCCTTCCGCAATGAAAGCTGAGAGTTGAAAGAATGTCGTCAGGATGACTCCAGCTTGTCAACATCACAACAACCCCCCCAAACGATTCCAGCAGGTTCCCGTCCCTTTGCATCGCGTCAACCGCTGTTGGGTCATTTGAAGGTCTCGCAGCCTCTTCATGAATCCTCGTCAAGACCGCGAGACACGATCTCTCCTTGAAGGGCTTTCCTCCACCAGCGCTGACTGCCACAGTGATGGGATCCAACAAGGAAGAAGCAAACTTGGAGGTCAAATGGTGAATGTCAAGGCCGTGCAGAAGAAGCTTGCCATCATTTGTTTGGCTCATTTCGACGATAGACTGTGGACTACCACGTGCAGGGACTTCACCTCCTGGCCAAGCATTCAGGAGACCGAAGCCTTGTAAGATTTGTGTCTGAGACATGGCTTCGTGCGATGCAATCTGGAACATAGAATACAAGGATGCGTCGTTGAGATTCTTCTTGTCGGATCGTAGACGCTGCAGAACATGATAAGCTAGGTTACGAAATAAAGTTGCAGGGTCTTCCACTGATATATCGACGTTCAATCCTTCCAAGAAAACATTGCATAACCATGGGTTCACGTTGTCGAGCAACAATGAGATCTTGCCCTCCCCAAACAGTCGCTTGAGAAGAATTCTCTGCTTCGCTGATCGTAGCATCATCGGAGGGAGGGCTCGATGGGTGACGCAGATGATGGTCTGCTTGTTCTTGCCTCGGCTGTCCAACGTCTGTCGCGTAGCTTCATTGAAATTCATCACCAGAGTGTTAGTTCCTAACATGATGCAATGAAAACCCGCATTACGGAGAATTCTTTTCAGGAAATCAAGTCTGTCCAATGCGCCAACAACACCGAAGCTGCTTTTCTTCTTCTCCCTCGGAATCGCTTCATCAACCATAACCCACAACTTCTGCTGCGACATCCAGGTCCTTGCTTGCTGCACTGTTACCTTGGCGGGCGTTGTGGTCTTGCCAAACAGATAGCCGAGCGTGCCAAGAACGTTCCAACTGTAGTCCTCCAGCTTGATCGATGAGATCTCCGTCGACTCACCTGACACGATCTTGAAGACATTGATACTGCGAAAATACTGTTGAAGGTCCAGATCGATAGCTGCATTCATGATACACGTCAGGTCTTGTACTCTTGAATAGATTTCCTGTTCGTGGACGTATTCGAACACGAAGTATAGCGAGGTCGTCGGATGTCGAGAAAAGTAGTCTGCAGCGCACAGAGATTTCCCGCTTCCCGAGCATGCCTCGATCATACATGAAACTGTAACAACATTGTCATTGCTTGCAGCTGCCACTACTCTGTCGATAGGATTGAGATAGCTGAAATTACTGTTCCTTGGTTCAAGTACATTTTTGAGGTACTCCTTCAAGCCATTAGCTGCATCTTCCAGCGAAAGGCGTGAAAGGCGAAGCTTCGAAACCAAAGCGCTTAGCACTATCAAACAGCATTCCGTCAGCATCTTTATAAAAAAAACACCCGTTCTCAGACGGGGTTGGACAAAATAATAACAGGAAGATTACCTTGGTTGTCCGTAGGAAAAGCTAACGATGCACGATAGCTCGCAAGTTCAGAATTATGGTGGTCCAAATCTTTCTGTGCCTGGAATATCAGCTCCTCGTCCCCGCTTGCACGTGCCTGTTCCAGCTTCGCCTTCGCCACCTCCACCTCCTCTGCCAGCTTCGCCTTCGCCACCTCCACCTCCCACGCTGATATCAGCTCCTCGTCCCTGGTTGCCCGTGCCTGTTCCAGCTTCGCCTTCGCCACCTCCACCTCCCCCGCTGATATCAGCTTCTCGTCCCCGCTTGCCCGTGCCTGTTCCAGCTTCGCCTTCGCCACCTCCACCTCCCCCGCTGATATCAGCTTCTCGTCCCCGCTTGCACGTGCCTGTTCCAGCTTCGCCTTCGCCACCTCCAGCTCCCACGCTGATATCAGCTCCTTGTCCCTGGTTGCACGTGCCTGTTCCAGCTTCGCCTTCGCCACCTCCACCTCCTCTGCCAGCTTCGCCTTCGCCACCTCCACCTCCCCCGCTGATATCAGCTCCTTGTCCCCGCTTGCACGTGCCTGTTCCAGCTTCGCCTTCGCCACCTCCACCTCCCCCGCTGATATCAGCTCCTTGTCCCTGGTTGCACGTGCCTGTTCCAGCTTCGCCTTCGCCACCTCCACCTCCTCTGCCAGCTTCGCCTTCGCCACCTCCACCTCCCCCGCTGATATCAGCTCCTTGTCCCTGGTTGCACGTGCCTGTTCCAGCTTCGCCTTCGCCACCTCCACCTCCCCCGCTGATATCAGCTCCTTGTCCCTGGTTGCACGTGCCTGTTCCAGCTTCGCCTTCGCCACCTCCACCTCCCACGCTGATATCAGCTTCTCGTCCCCGCTTGCACGTGCCTGTTCCAGCTTCGCCTTCGCCGCCTGCAGTTCGCTGTTTGAAGGATTATCTGCCCCTCCTTGTATTCGCAAACAAGAGGGTTGGGAAAGCAAGCCTATCCGACGAAGGTTTGGTTGAGAAAAGGGAACTGTCAATCTCTGCTGGCAAAACAAACGATCAGCGTCTCTCCTGCGGCAGATTCGGGGCATTCTACCTCTGCGCTTGAAATGACGATTGACCCCAAACATACCAACACACAACGTGTGTGGGTTGGTATGGCTCCCAAGCGATGGCGATCGATCCCGCATGCCTTCTCCCGGTGGTGGAGTATCTTCTTCCCCTGAAGCAACGGGGTGGTCATGTTAGGATTCACCAAGAGAGCATCCGCAGCAGGTAAGAGCAGTTGAGCGTGATCAGCCTTGCTCTCACTCTACCAAGTGTTGAAATCGTGATGCGAGAAATATTCAATTCACCCATGATCTTTGTGAAATTTGAATGTGTTATACTAATGTTTAGTCAACCCAATCTCAATCTGAATTCCTAGCGGTTTTCGCTGCCTCCTCCGTTTCCTAGTGTCTTATTGAGGCGGGTTTGTCGGATTTATCCTCGTCCTCCTATGTTTGCTCCGGTTTGCCTTTTCTTTTCAGTCAATAAATATAAAAAAGGAATTTATTAATCAATTTTTTATTAATCAATTTTTTTCGTACCGTTACGGAGAAGAAGGGTGCCTTTGGGGAATGTGAAGAAGTAGAGCAAGATGTAAGGGGGCAGATAGAATCAGTAAGTGGAATCTGTAAGAGATTGGATGGGAAAGAGATTGGATCTGTAAGAGATTGGTCAACCCGAAGACCTCCTCTTGGAGTTCTGTAAGCCAACTGATTACTTTGCTGTGTGAGAAGAGAGCATGTTGCTTGTCAGCTTCGGAGTTGAGCACGAAATCGCAGTCCAACCCCTGAGAAGATCAAGAGTTGCTGGCAAGACGGGGGTTGGTTTCTTTGTACATGAGGAAATGCTCGCACCAGCAAATGTCTTCGTTGCTGATAATGAAGCAAAAAGCTACTTGAAGTTTCAGTCAAACATGTCTCTAAGGTCTGGCGTCAGGCATGTTTACAGAAGGAACAACCACTCAAAGACTTTCGGTGGAAGATTGATACAACCATATATTGGAGTCCTACAAAGGTCTTCATAGATGAGGCGGCAGTAGGTGTCACGAAACTAAGCTCGGGAAAGGATGCAAATCCGTTGACGGAAGAGAATTACATAGGCATAAGAAGATAGGATCGTGGGCAGCCTGACATATGTCACATTGAGTTGGGATGTCATCTGTAGATCCGTGAATACGGTTCAGATCCTGCTGCATGCAACACATCTGATGGCAAGATGATCATATGTTCGTTGGAGTTCCGAGCCTGGAGGATTTGAAACGCAACATTGCAGAAAACAACGATTCAGTCGCAGGCATGCTGAAGGAGATTCCGGAGATAGGGCAACATGCGACAGAACACCAGGAACAGGAAGAGGAACCTGACCTCGGAGATGTAAAAGCTGGCGCACTGCTGAATCGGAGCACTGTACAGTGTGTCAATGGCGATCGAGCTGGCGTTCGTCACACTGTGACTCAGACTGATCAAGCTGATCTGAAAACGATTCGAATTTCTGGTGAAGCGAAATGTTTCAACAGTGCATGGAATCTGTATCACTCTGGCAAACATGCCAAAGGGATACCTCCTTCGGAGAAACTGCAACGAGCAAATTTTAACAGAGCATGAAGCAAATGGTTTGCAGGCATAGCTTATCTCATGAAGTGCTTTGACCAATTCATCCGGCGAAGTGTAATGGAACTGAATTCCTTCTTTGATAGTCGGTGAGAATCTTTGATGTTTCAAGGCCAAGATGAAACATTCAAGAAATATCCAAAGGATTTCATCTCGTGGCTCAATCAGAGAGAAGGGGCAGAGAGCTCAAGTGATAGGAGTGGGCAGTTTGCACAGGCAACGTACTTCAAGAAAATGCGAAAGTGTGTTTGAGTCTTGGACCTCTGAGGCGGGTGTGTGAGTGTTTGAGGGTAGGGAGGGAGGGAGGGTGAGGTCCTAAACTGGTCTTTGGGTGGGGTAGGGGTCATATTCGGAAGGAGTTTATGTGAATTAGCACTAAACCTCTCAAAAAACTACAAAAGTGTATATATTTGTCCGGACTACATCTTATTACACCTCTAAACCTCTAAATTAGTGGTATGGTGCACTGACAGAAAAGTTGCAAAATTTTAATGATTGACAGTGCAACGTGCAATGTACCGGTACTATCCAGCCCATTGGATCGGCAGGGGTACTGCATTCAATGCAATCCAGCAGAGCAAATGATGCCATGTTGCAGGAGCGACAACGACGACAAGAAAGGGCATTTGACCTAATAGAGAACAAAGTCATCGCTGATAGTACGAAGAAAGTTTACCGATGCAAGATCAATAGGATCGTGCGTCTGTTACTGAAAGTGAACCCCAGGGCTGTCGACGAGGACGGCGAATTGATACTCCCAAAGGCATGGAAAGATTTGAAGAGTTTGTTTGGAGACCTTGTCACCAATACTGACTTACCAAAATCTAGAAGGAGAAGAGGAGGTCAAGAGCAGGAAGAGCAGGAAGAGCAGGAAGAGCAGGAAGAGCAGGAAGAGCAGGAAGAGCAGAAAGAGCAGGAAGAGCAGGAAGAGCAGGAAGAGCAGGAAGACGAAGATCAGGATTTTATTTTCCCTCAGAAGACGCCGTGCAAAAGTATGTGGCAGAAATGGCACCTAGGGCAAGAGGAGAAGATTAATGGAGAATGGAAGCGTATTGGTCCACTCAAAGCTTTGCACAATTATTTTGACAAAATAACGTTGTGAATGCAGTACCACCCACTCCTGCCCATCCAATGGGCTGGATAGTACCGGTACATTGCACGTTGCACTGTCAATCATTAAAATTCGCTCAGCTACACGTCGCACCAACATCCGTGGTCGCCCTCTGCGGATAGTGGGGACCTCCGAGTCAGCCTGCACGGGCGGCACGGCAACGGCGAGCCGCTGAGCAGTGGAGGCTCTCCTGTTAGTTCAGAGATTGTATCACCCTCTGGTGGTCACAGTGGTGGAGGCCGCCGGGGCGGCAATGGTCGAGGGCGTGTAGGGACTGGCCGTTCCCATCGAAATTTCAGACAGACGTGCCAGTATCAGCACTGCCTCTTTGCACACAGCTCCTCCATCCGCATGTTGAGGAATTGATGGAATGGCTGTTTTCCCACGTTGCTCACACTCACAGCTGGTGTATCCTTCCGAATCAACATATTAGGGGGCTTATGGGCGCCAGGGGATTAGACCTTAGGATTAGCTCCTGGTACAAATGTTTTAGTCAAAGGGAGGGCTAATCCCCTGCTAAGGTCGCCCAGGGGATTAGCAATTAGTAGCTAATCCCCTGGACAACCATAACCTTTGGCTTACCAACCGTTGCGAGTTCAAGGTTCTCCCTTCCCCCCGCGCGAGGGACGTTCGAGTCAAACCACCTTCGACCTGATGCTCCGAGTGCGCATCAACCTGTGGCTCCTGTATGTCGCGTGCTTCCCATTGTGAGACAAGAGGATTGATGCCTCAGCAGCTAGGGAATGACAAGACCTTCAAAGTTGAGGGATAGGGTTGGAGGCTTCATGGACCGTGAGGGCAGTGGAAGCGTTTTGAATTCGAAAATGCGATGCGAATGTCAGTGTTCATGGTGAGGACTCCAATGTTGAACGGTTTTTATGAGGTAAACTTGTATAATGGCAATCAATCAATCAATCATTGGCTTCGCCTCGACGCATGATTGACAAGATTTAGCAACACAAATGGATACCGCCTTCTCAGGACAGAGTACAACAAGGCAAGCTTCCTATACATCCTGGATTCGTGAAAGAACCGAGTCTGACACCATCACGACGGATCTGATAGGAAGCGAGTTGAGCTGAGGTGTGTGGGCATCGTTGCTCTGAAGTTTAGCAACAGATATTCAGTACATGTGATGGTTTGTAATGTGCATCTTAACTTTGTTCCTGTGTTCATTGTAATTAGAACATGAGTAATGTAATTGGACCATGCAACACCTCGTATGCATAGAGCTGTTCTTCATCATGCTTGTACTTGCTTGCAACATCACCTACAACAGCATAAGCTAACATCTCACACTCCTTGCAAGCGCTCGTTCGGCACAAACATTTCAGTTTCACTACTAATCCAACACTTCCAAAAACGAAATAAAAAGAGAATAAAACTCTAAAAGTTAAGGTCATGATACAAATTATTGAGTGATTTTAGAAGGAAACTTGATCGCTTTCTTCCTATATCACAACGTCTCAAAATCAGACTAAGGTTAAAACCGCCGTGTAACGGCAAGGACAGCTAATCCTAAGGTCTAAGGTCTCTGGCGCCCATAAGCCCCCTATTTATTCATTCACGCAAAGATGATGGCACATCAGGCTTGCATCTTCAGCATTGATAAGAACTTTTATAAGTAGCATAAATGTTTGTGCTACCCCTACTAAACAGTTCAAGTACCCTGGTAAAATCATGCCCTGCTTTCCAAAGGTATTTTAAATTTTCGAAATCTATCTGTTTTAGGGCCCTTTTAGTGCGCCGAAAAAATTGATAAGTTAATAAATTCCTTTTTTATATTTATTGACTGAAAAGAAAAGGCAAACCGGAGCAAACATAGGAGGACGAGGATAAATCCGACAAACCCGCCTCAATAAGACACTAGGAAACGGAGGAGGCAGCGAAAACCGCTAGGAATTCAGATTGAGGTTGGGTTGACTAAACATTAGTACAACACATTCAAATTTCACAAAGATCATGGGTGAATTGAATATTTCTCGCACCACGATTTCAACACTTCAAGAAGAGTTTCAAAAGAGTTCACGGCGTGACAAGCAGTAGTAGTTGGGAGGATTTCACAGTGCTCCCAAGTATTTCAGAGGTGCGAAATCAGAGTCTGGCTATATTTTCAAATCCATGGCCTTTGGTTGGGCGCAATACACAAACTCACAAAACATTTTATCAACAAGGTTCTCTTGCACGCGGCAAATGACGGCTGGTAGAGTGAGAGCAAGGCTGATCACGCTCAACTGCTCTTACCTGCTGCGGATGCTCTCTTGGTGAATCCTAACATGACCACCCCGTTGCTTCAGGGGAAGAAGATACTCCACCACCGGGAGAAGGCATGCGGGATCGATCGCCATCGCTTGGGAGCCATACCAACCCACACACGTTGTGTGTTGGTATGTTTGGGGTCAATCGTCATTTCAAGCGCAGAGGTAGAATGCCCCGAATCTGCCGCAGGAGAGACGCTGATCGTTTGTTTTGCCAGCAGAGATTGACAGTTCCCTTTTCTCAACCAAACCTTCGTCGGATAGGCTTACTTTCCCAACCCTCTTGTTTGCGAATACAAGGAGGGGCAGATAATCCTTCAAACAGCGAACTGCAGGCGGCGAAGGCGAAGCTGGTATCAGCGGGGGAGGTGGAGGTGGCGAAGGCGAAGCAGCGTGGGAGGTGGAGGTGGCGAAGGCGAAGCTGGAACAGGCACGTGCAACCAGGGACAAGGAGCTGATATCAGCGTGGGAGGTGGAGGTGGCGAAGGCGAAGCTGGAACAGGCACGTGCAACCAGGGACAAGGAGCTGATATTCCAGGCACAGAAAGATTTGGACCACCATAATTCTGAACTTGCGAGCTATCGTGCATCGTTAGCTTTTCCTACGGACTACCAAGGTAATCTTCCTGTTATTATTTTGTCCAACCCCGTCTGAGAACGGGTGTTTTTCTTATATAGATGCTGACGGAATGCTGTTTGATAGTGCTAAGCGCTTTGGTTTCGAAGCTTCGCCTTTCACGCCTTTCGCTGGAAGATGCAGCTAATGGCTTGAAGGAGTACCTCAAAAATGTACTTGAACCAAGGAACAGTAATTTCAGCTATCTCAATCCTATCGACAGAGTAGTGGCAGCTGCAAGCAATGACAATGTTGTTACAGTTTCATGTATGATCGAGGCATGCTCGGGAAGCGGGAAATCTCTGTGCGCTGCAGACTACTTTTCTCGACATCCGACGACCTCGCTATACTTCGTGTTCGAATACGTCCACGAACAGGAAATCTATTCAAGAGTACAAGACCTTACGTGTATCATGAATGCAGCTATCGATCTGGACCTTCAACAGTATTTTCGCAGTATCAATGTCTTCAAGATCGTGTCAGGTGAGTCGACGGAGATCTCATCGATCAAGCTGGAGGACTACAGTTGGAACGTTCTTGGCACGCTCGGCTATCTGTTTGGCAAGACCACAACGCCCGCCAAGGTAACAGTGCAGCAAGCAAGGACCTGGATGTCGCAGCAGAAGTTGTGGGTTATGGTTGATGAAGCGATTCCGAGGGAGAAGAAGAAAAGCAGCTTCGGGGTTGTTGGCGCATTGGACAGACTTGTTTTCCTGAAAAGAATTCTCCGTAATGCGGGTTTTCATTGCATCATGTTAGGAACTAACACTCTGGTGATGAATTTCAATGAAGCTACGCGACAGACGTTGGACAGCCGAGGCAAGAACAAGCAGACCATCATCTGCGTCACCCATCGAGCCCTCCCTCCGATGATGCTACGATCAGCGAAGCAGAGAATTCTTCTCAAGCGACTGTTTGGGGAGGGCAAGATCTCATTGTTGCTCGACAACGTGAACCCATGGTTATGCAATGTTTTCTTGGAAGGATTGAACGTCGATATATCAGTGGAAGACCCTGCAACTTTATTTCGTAACCTAGCTTATCATGTTCTGCAGCGTCTACGATCCGACAAGAAGAATCTCAACGACGCATCCTTGTATTCTATGTTCCAGATTGCATCGCACGAAGCCATGTCTCAGACACAAATCTTACAAGGCTTCGGTCTCCTGAATGCTTGGCCAGGAGGTGAAGTCCCTGCACGTGGTAGTCCACAGTCTATCGTCGAAATGAGCCAAACAAATGATGGCAAGCTTCTTCTGCACGGCCTTGACATTCACCATTTGACCTCCAAGTTTGCTTCTTCCTTGTTGGATCCCATCACTGTGGCAGTCAGCGCTGGTGGAGGAAAGCCCTTCAAGGAGAGATCGTGTCTCGCGGTCTTGACGAGGATTCATGAAGAGGCTGCCAGACCTTCAAATGACCCAACAGCGGTTGACGCGATGCAAAGGGACGGGAACCTGCTGGAATCGTTTGGGGGGGTTGTTGTGATGTTGACAAGCTGGAGTCATCCTGACGACATACTTTCAACTCTCAGCTTTCATTGCGGAAGGGAGGTAAAGAGCAAGGTTATGAACGTTCTTGAGAGGGTGCAGAATCAAGAAGCTGCAGAGGGATTTCGTCAAGTCTTGACTTCGTGCTTCTCGAACCTTGTTCCCCTTCGCATTGGTGAAGAGCACGTAAATGAAAGTACAGCGTACGGCTGCTACATGCGTTGCAAAAATAGTCAGCGACGGGACGGAATCTTCTACAGTCCCGTCGGTCAGGATGGAAGCAGAAAATCGGGAGGTGCAGAGTTCAAGAACCGGAGACAGGCGGTTAGTGCATCGCAGCTGAAAAAGATTGTGAAGAAGTTATCTAGGCATGGGCACGACCTGCTGTTTTTCATGGCACCAAAGCTGAGAAAGTTCGAGAGTGAGCGGATTTTACCTCGTGGCGGGAAGGAGAGCTGGTTGCTGTTACACTGGAGGAAAAATGATGACGTACCTTGGCACACTTTCCACAGAGTGGTACAGGGAGCTCAGAGGTACAGAGTGTTGATTCTGATGGAGCTTGGACTTTCAACGAATCCTTTTGGTCTGCGGACGATGCACCAGGATGCATTAAAGGATGAAGTTCGCTTATCAAAAAGAAGGAGAGCATCCAAGGGATCAGACTCGCCCTCATTGCGAACGGAGTGCAAGTCAGACAAGTCTGAGCGAGCCAGGGTGAACAGCAGACAAGGTGAGGCTTCGACTCGTACGAGGGACGGGTGTGACCTCCTTGCTTTGCACGAGGAGGAGAGACACTCCGAAGCAAAACAAGTGCCTGAATCCGCAGATGCTATTGACCAAGGATAGCTATCCCTGGTCATTACCCTAGGCTATGATGATCCAGCAGGTTCTCTGAGCAGCCAGTGCCACTGTACCACCCTTGACGGTATACGGGAACGTGCTTTGATCTGTATCAAAGTAAACTAGACAAATTTCCGTCATTCCCATCCTGAAGAATGAGCTGACCCTACGAGTACAATGAAAGAATATGACAGTCGTGGTTCTAAAAACCAGATGCACTGTCTGAGCCCCCAGTTCCTGTTGGCAAGACATTCAGCCGAATAAAAACCACTCCTCGAATGACTTTCACCTTGGAGCATCTTGGCAACCGAAGGCAGAACGCAGCGAGAGGAAGGATAGTGCCTACACCAGAAAGGTTGAGACGACGAAAAGCTGGCGGAGGTGATGTTGCAGGGAGAGGGAGAAGAGGAGGAGGAGCAGCAGGATTAGGGAGAAAAAACGCAGGAGGAGCGAGGGAGCGGCGTGCGAAGAAGAGCAGGAGCAGGATAAGGGTGCAGCGGAAGAGCAGCAGGAGGGAAAGGAGACCGCGGAAGAGCGGGAGCAGCATGCGGAGGAGGGAGAGCAAGAGGGAGAGCAGGAGAGGATCAGGAGGAAGAGGAAGAGAAGGAGGAGGATCAGAAGGATGAGTAAGAGAAGGGGGGAGAAGAAGAGCAGGAGGGGAGGAGGAGGAACAAGGGGGGGGGAGGAACAGCAAGAGGGACAGGAACAGCAGGAGGAGGAAGGGAAAGGAACAGCAGGAGACGGAAGGGGAAGAGCAGCAGGGAAGGGAAGAGCAGGAGGAGGAGGAGGAGGAGGAGGAGGAGGAGGAGGAGGACGAGGACGAGGACGAGGACGAGGACGAGGACGAGGAGGCCCAGGACGAGGAGGAGGAAGACGAGGACGAGAACGAGGAGGACGAGGACGAGGAGGACGAGGAGGCCCAGGACGAGGACGAGGAGGACGAGGACGAGGACGGGGACGAGTAGGAGGAGGAGGAGGAGGAGTACGAGTATGAGGACGAGGACGAGGTCGGGGACGAGGACGAGGACGAGGACGAGGACGAGGACGAGGACGAGGAGCAGCAGGAGGAGGATGAGTAGAAGGAGGAGGATGAGTAGGAATAGGAGGAGAAGGACGAGGACGAGGACGAGGACGAGGAGGACGAGGAGGAGGATGAGGAGGAGGAGGGGGATGAGGCCTCACGTTGGATCCGGCATGGTGCCCGTTCTGGGAGGCTTTCCAACGAGACCCTGTGAAATGGTAACAATCGTTTAATGAGTAAAGACGCAAGCTATTCCTGGGAAGATGCCGGGGAAGCCGAACGCAACAACTTGCCGACGGCAAAGGCCTTGAAGCCTCGGCCTCGGAGGGAGGCAGAGGGGCACTGCCGGATGGAGGAGCTGTGTGCAAAGAGGCAGTGCTGATACTGGCACGTCTGTCTGAAATTTCGGGAGGGAATTTGAATGTGTTGTACTAATAGGAGTCACATAGTAGTGTGAGCAGCTGTCACGAGGCCGCACGGTTCCGGGGTCACTAAGATCAAACCCGCGTAACTTCAACCTGAAGGGTCAACCGAGATCACGGCACGGGCACGGCTGCCACCCCATGACACCCCCGACAGCTTCTTCCGACCTCCCTACGGCTACAAAATGACGTCTTCTCGAACACCCTTGGACTTAGCGGAGTAACGAAAAGCATTGTTTTCAGGTTTGAGGATATTTACTACAACTGACTTTGTAAGCCTTCGTATCCGCTGACCGGGCAGCACCACCAACCTCTCGTGGTAAAAGGTGCTTCACAGCACCGGTACATGTATCAGGAATTGGAAAGATTCAGGGGGTGGTTTTTCAGTAGTCGCTTCTTCATGCTCCCAGGGGTGGGTCTTCTCCGGAATCCGCTCCCGATTTGTTGATTCCGCACCCCTAGTAATCCCATAAGATATCGACGGGGGTAGGGTCAGGAGATGCAAATTGGGGCTGGACACATGTGATATTGCTGACATGCACGTAACCATCCTTGTCAGCAGGTTTAGGGAGTTCGCATCAAAAGCAAGCGAACGAAGGGGTCGAGCAAACAAGGGAAGAGCCCAAGGAAAGAAGTCTCAGTGCGATCTGAAACATCTCTCTCAAGCCAGCAGAGGTTCAAGAGAAGTGATAGGAGTGATCAGCCTTAAGGAGGACCGTGCGAAGTAAGATCAAGAAACCGTCGATCGCAAACTTCTGGTTTTCTCCGGAGCTACTGGTTTGTTCAGCTTCCTACGAATGACACCATCTTTGATGCCTAGTCAAAGACTCCTACAGCACTCATCTAGATCGTTCAAGGGATCATTCGCGTTGAAGAAGGACAATGTCTGGAACTTGCATGCAATTTTTATTCTTTGGTTGGGATACATAGGGGAGATGTTGAGGTCAATTTGGACTACCCACAGGGCAGCCTCCGCTCATGCGTGTCAGGCTGAGGAGAAGCGTTGGCAAAGGCAGAACTCGCTGCGGCGGAAATCAGAATCGATGAAAGACGACTATCAGCAGCTCCTGCAGATCATGCAAGACTGTTGCCAGAGTGGACATGTGGTCCTGACAAGTCCGCCATCGAAGCTTGATAGCAGGAGGAGAAGGGAGCAGCAAACCCACCGGAGAAAGAGCATGACTCTATTAGAATGCAAGCAACAAGTAGATACTCGAAGGTCAAGGTTGGAAGCCAACACACATGCTGCCTGGAACTCGCAGCAAGGCTACATGGTTGCCGGCTCACCAGCACCACAAACTTTTGAGAAGCTAAAGCGTAGAAATGATAGGATTCTATCCAAATGGGTGGAAATGTAATAAAGTGTAATCTATTCCATTTAGATACTGCCGCACTCAACGTTGCTCCTCTCTTTCGATGGCTAACTCCCGAACAGGCATTCATTCACCACTGTACTGCTGATTTTCATGTGTTGATACAATCTTACTGTCAACCATAGTAGCAACACACCGTTGGCAGTGACATCGATTTAAGAACTTGACTGCACTTTGTTAGTTTGACAGCCAACTGTGTTATTTCTACGAAATACAAAGTAGCAGAATTGAAAGCCGTAGCTACCAGCGGCACCGCTTACAATAATACAAATTACGGTAGTACCGTCCGTACTGCCGTCACTGAGCGGCCAAGATCTGTTGCCCTGAACAGCAAAGGAAGTTCACCGTAACAGTCCTAGCAAGCAATGCAGCAGCACCATGTGGCGCACTGCGGCAGCCTGGCCGCTGAGGCTCAGCCAAGCCTAGTAGGCAGCGACTCGGACTCATGCCATGATGCTTGCCACTCAGTGACTGCCGGCCGGGCGGCTCGGAGGGCTAAGTGAGGATAAGCCTTCAAGGCTTAACACCCGGGCCGGGCCGGGCCTGCTTCCCCTCGGCTATTATTGAAAGCAACTTGATGATCATGTTGTCAATCGGTTAAAAGCTTGCTCAGCGGGGAGTCCGACTCGTGCCACTGTATGATAGTATCATAGTATCCCAAGATGTAGGGCGCCTCCAAAAAAAGCTTAGGATTCTCTTTTTTGGTAAAATTTGAAAAAAAAAAAATTGCAGTTGATGGACACATTTATCGCGAAACATGCATAGTTTCAGTACCTTGCACGCATTGTTGGCGTGATCGTTTGAAATGCCTAAGGTTCAAAACTCTGGTACTAATTTGTACCGGCGATCAGTACTGATAATTGAGTAAATTACATATATATGCGGTACACTTATTTGTACCAGTTACTCTCTTTAATATTAATATATATAGAATTCTCTCCTTTTTTTTTGACTTAGTGAAAGAATCTTGAAGCGCCCTGCGAGATCCAGTCCTTGTATCAGGCCGCGCCTCACGGCAGTGCCGTTCTTCAACGGGATCGGATACCGTACCGATGCCCCCACGCGGCCCATCATCCGATCCAGAGTCGTCAGTCTGGTACCCCTCCTCCGAGGCTTTATCAGTGAAGGTAGGGTACTCGAGGGTACTTCCGGGCCCCGCAGCCTGTTCAATTCGTTCGGTGTCCGACCGCAATGCTCAAATTGTATGGAAAAGTCAATCAAAAATTAAAATTCTGTCTAAATCTCATTGGGTTAACCAGCGAAACTGACATCTGCCAGGGCCCCCTTTCGCTGGATCCCCCGTTATAGCCGCCTCGGTGTAAAGGCCTTGGCCCCCCGTTCCGCAATCAGTTGGCGATTCCGCGAGCAACACTTATTTTGCACTCGAAAATCTGCCATGGATTATTGAAAATAGACAATAAATTTTCAAATTGTACCTTTCTTTTTCATATCATTCGTTTGAATTTGCGACCATTATCCCCGCCAACATTTACAACCCCTCAGATTTCCCTGCCTTTGTATGTAATTTACTACGCCTGGTACCATATGAAGGGAATTTGAGTAATTTTTGTATTGGCACCATCCACCCCCACCCCGCCTCCAATCAATCCACCCTCTTCTCAAAATTACTCACTATTTACCCCACCCTACCCCACCGTGATATTCACACCGATCCTTTTTCTCCCATGACAGCTCTGACCCCTACCTTATCGATGATCCCACCACCCCTGAACGAATACCCACCCACCCATCGTAATCAGACGGTTCAACTGAGAAACGAGTTCTTCTCCACCCTACCCACCAGGATCCCAATTGCAACAAATACCCTACTGTCACTTTCGACTCGATTACCTCTCAAAACCATGGGTAGTATCACTACCTACCGTCTAACGACACATTCGAACTCCCTGCTGCCACCCCACCCCTCCACATGAAAAGGATATAGACTGACTCTGAATACCCCACCCCATCCCCACCCTTTGCACCCCCTCGTCATCCCTTGCACTGTAGCCCAGTTCAGGGTACCCCCACCCACGATGATCCACTTCACCCACCCACATTGTGTAAAACACGATACTCCACCCCCCTTTCAGTAAGTACCCCCCACCCCACCCCCGAGCTCAACCCCGTCAAACGTGGCTTTTCCCCAGTTTGTGTCCCCCGAAAGTATCAGCGACTGCTTCCTTCCCACCCGCATCTCTGCCCTCCCACTTCATCCGCCGCTTCCTCCCCCTCCTCGCTCTTTCTTCTTCTCATTCACTTCTGATCATCCCCTCCGATTCGTCAGGCTTTCATCCCACCTCATCTCATTTCTTTCTCACAGCCCAACTCTCTTTCATTGGTCGTTCATCTCAAATTGTTCTGGACCAGGGGTGTCTAGTTTAACGACCTGTGCTGTGACGGTTGATATCGCATTGGGATTTGTCTTCTACAGAAACAAGTCTTGATAGCAAGCAACCTGATGAGTCGTGAGAGAATGGTAGAGTTTGTGGCGGGCGCTGCGTCGGGATTTGTTGCAGACGGTGTAACGCACCCTGTGGACACTGTTCGAACAAGATTGTGGGTTCAAGGGGAAGGGACAGCTTACAGGTATTCTGGATTGCTTCATGGAACAGTAGACATGGTGAAGAAAGAGGGATTGCCCTCGCTCTTCAAAGGTTTCGGAAGCGTCGCATTGCTGACTCCTTTAGCGCATGGTCTTTACTTTGGATCATATGAATGGTTCAAGCGAACACTAGGACACCGGAAAGGCGGCCTAGGCCTCGGAGACTCCTCCAACGCTATGATCTCAGGATTCTTTGCGAATGGAGTCGGAGGTCTGGTGTGGAATCCGATGGACGTGGTGAAGCAGAAGCAACAAGCCAACGTCGGCAGCTTGTACAAAAGTCCATTGAATGGGCTCGTTGAGGTTTGGAGGGAGGGAGGCATGTGCCGGGGTTTGATGAAAGGATATTGGTCGGGAATGGCAACATATGGGCCATTTTCAGCTATTTACTTCATGATGTACGAGAACTGGAAAGTAGCATGCATGAAATGGACTACGCAGCATGCGCGGCACGACGAGCTTAACACAGGACACTACGTAGCAGGAGGATTCATAGCTGGGAGTGCTGCAGCTGTTGCGACAGCTCCAATCGATCTGATCAAGACGAGGATACAAGTTTGCGATCATTACTCAGGAATGTACTCCACCGCAACACGCATAATCAAGGAAGAAGGCTACGGAGTTTTCACCAAAGGACTTGGAGCAAGGATATTGTGGGTAGCTCCAGGTTGTGCGATCACCATTGCAGTGTTTGAAGACATTCGAAAGTTTTGTTCGAGTGCCTCAGACTTCGGTAGTGATGGTTACTCTAGCCTGGACATGTCGTCTGTTACAGATGGATCAGCTTTCACAGTATGAACTCAGCACTAATTCCGAGTCCCAGCAGCGGTCATGTGTAGACTACGGTAGTACCAGGTGTTTCTGTTCTATAATTCTTCAAAGTTTGTTGTACATAGTACTATGATGATGTAATGGCCCTCCGATTCGATCAGTGACCATCCGTGACGTGGTTGCACTCGTGATCTGCCAGTTGACTCAGTGAGGCCCGGGCCGCCGGGGCCGCCGGGCCCCGCGGCCCGGGCTGAGCGGCACTGTGACAGTGAGCCTCCGGCGGCGGCGGCCATCCGATGATCAGTAGGCAGTGCCGCTGGTCACGTGGCAGTCCTGAATGACCCTAGCCTTGAGTGCCAGTGCAGCCCGTCGCGGCCGGGCGCTGGTCCCGCCGCGCTGGTGCCAGGCGCGGGGGGGCGGTGGCAGCACTGCGGCTGCCAGAGTGCGGCCGGCGGCCCGGCCGCCCGGCGGGACTGAGTCCGGGGCCGTGATCTGAATCAAACTTTCCGAAGTTCCCGGAAGTTCCGGGCCGGAGTCCGGCCCAACTTGAAGTCCGATCACCGTGGCACTGTACGGTCCGGCACCGTGGCACCGCCCGGCGGGGCGGCCTCAGTCGGACTGCCGCGGTGCATGCAGCAGTCACGCGGCCGGTTTGCCCGGCGCCCGGCGCGGCCGGGCACGGCGGGGCCGGGCCCGCACCCGGCGGGGTCTGGGCCGGGGATCATAGTACTATGATAGGCCCCGGACGCCGGTCCCCGGCGGCCCGGGCACTGATGGGTGCTGTCCCGGCGATCGAGCCGCCCCCGGGCCCCGGCGCACGGGACTCTGAGTCTGTCACTGGTCTCAGTAGTACAGGCTGTCAGGCCCGGGCCGGGGATGATGCATGCAGTGCGGTTGAGGGGGATGATGCTCTGATTTGTCACGTGTCTTAGTACTGAAAAAATGTTTAACTAAAAGTATTTAGGGAGGCCGCTATCTTGCATCTGTGGGGGTTGAGGGTTCATGATCAGGGGTGGACTTGAGTACCCGGTGGTCCCAGGACCATTTTTTCAATGAAAAATATGTGAAAGTATGGGGTCAATTTGATTATGTTTTTTGACATGATTCACTGATCATGGGTGGGTGATTCAGAGAAGGGGGTAGGGGTGATGCAGGAGGATCGGTGATGTAGGCCATGCGGCGCATAGAGAAGAAGAGCGAAAAGCGAAGAGGAGAGAAAGAGAGGAGAAGAGATGCCGAGGAAGAGAAGAGAAGGAGGAGAGCAGAATGAGCGAGAAGGAGGAGAGCAGACGAGAGCAGAGGGGAGGGAAACAGAGCAGAGGGGAAGGAAGCAGAGCAGAGGGGATGGGATGGGAGGGGACGAGAGGAGAGGAGAAGGGAAGAGGAAAAAGGGTACAAGACGGGATGGGTGGGACTGGAAGGGAGGAGGATGAAAGGGATTGACATGGTCAATATCGTCCAGGAACAAGGGCATAGTTAGTGGTAGATGGAGACAAACTGAGAAGGGTGCCAAGAATGATGAAACTAGCCAGCGAAGAAATGGAAGAGCATAAGTAGATCAGAGAGGACAGAAGCAGGTGGCGCTTTCCCTCGTATCATAGAGCGCGCTCATTTCTTTCCTGTTGGTTATGCACGCTAACGGCGATGTGGGAGATGGACAGAGGGTAGAATCCTGTGGAAGAGCGACAGCCATGTTCACTAGCATTGCGATCTTTCAATCGTGACATTGACGTTTCCTTCTGAACCAGCACTCGTGTGCCTTCAAACCAGTGTTCACAGCGTAACCGTGACCATTTGGCAGTTCAAAGAGCCATGATGGGTCGTTGCATTGCTCTATGGTTGATCCTGTCCCTTGTCTTCTGCTTGAGCTCTGCTCAACTTGGAGGTCGTGGGCTGCAAGGAGGAGGAAGGGCTGCAGAAGCTGAGTGCGTGCCCAGCGCCATGCTGGTGGTCAGGATGTGACCTGCTGCTGCAGGGCTGCTGCTGGAGGAGGAATGAACGACGAGATCGTCAGGCTGCTGCAGCAGATGCAGGCTCAGCAGGCGCAGGCGCAGCAGGGGGGGCCTGCTGCTCCTGCTGCCGGAGTGAACAGGATGGAGGTAAACAAGCCTAGTCAGCCAGCACAGAAAACGGCAGAGAGGAAGGGAAACGACGACTTCGCTCGCTTGTTGCAGCAGTATGCCATGCAGTCCCAGCATGGAGGAGGCAGAGGAGAGATGCAGGAGGAGGAGGAGGAGGCAGAGGCCATGCACATGGGAGGGCTGCATGCTCCTGGCATGGCCAGCCCTCCCCAGGGTATGATGGGAACGGCGCCAGGAGCAGGAGGCGGATCAAAAGGTTTGTGCAGGTGGTGATGGAGGCATAAGGGTGAGGAGCGCATGGCAGGACAAGGAGGAGCGTCTGCCCTGTTTGAAGCTCTTGGGATGGGAGGGGGAGACAAGGTCAGCGGAGAGCAGGCGCTTGGAGGGCAGCAGGCGACCCCACCAGCCGGAGCAAGTCAGAAGAATTCAGCACAGGCTTCCAAGGCCGCACTGTTGAATCGCCTGGCTGGAATCTTCGGAGGAGGAGGAGGAGGAGGAGGAGGAGCAGGAGCAGGAGCAGGAGCAGGAGCAGGAGCATCATCAGGACAGGTGAAAACAGTGTGGTGGTAGACGAGATGGTTTCTGACTGGGTTGAAGACTACCAAGCCAAATCCTTCCGATGATGAGGAGACCTGTCCTAATGGAGTCTGCCGTGCAGGAGGTGAGAATGTGTTGTCGAGAAGTTGAAGTTGCAGTCGTCTGATATCTTGTGCAGGAGCTCCTCAGCAGAAAGCTGTAGCTCCCCAAGCATCGCGCTATGATCTCATGTGCCAGAAGCAACATGGGCCAGGGGCAGGTGAAACCTCTTGTGTCTTGTTGGCGGTCAAGTCAGCGTGTTGAGACTTGTTGCCAGAGTTCGATGGAGTTGACAGCTGCCGCTGCAAGGAAGGGTATGAAGAAGTCGACGGAAAGTGTAGAGAGGTGAAGCAAAGTTCTCCAACCCCACACTTATGTCACCATCTTGACTGATACCAAACTTCGACCTTGACATCTGAAACCTCCGCACCCTGCGATGGCTGGAGGGGTTTGACTGTCGGACAGATCGGACATGTCGGCGCCATGTCGGCGCGGCGCGGCTCGGAGGCCGCAGGCAAGCATTCTGCCGCCCTGGTCAAGGTCGACGTTCTGTGCAAGAAGGAATTCGGTACGTGACGAGGACGGGAGAGCATCGTAGCTTGACACGTCTCGTTGTTTGTTATGGTGCTGCATCTGCTCTGTGTTTGCTCTCCCCACCCCCCCCCCCTTTCTCCTGCTCTCTCCCGCCCTGACCTTGTCTATCCCTCAGTATTTGTGTGCATCCGTACTGAACTTTCCCAACACAAGTTTTCTTTGTGAACCCATGACTCTCCTCTCCTCTCCTCTCCTCTCCTCTCCTCTCCTCTCCTCTCCTCTCCTCTCCTCTCCTCTCCTCTCCTTTCTTCGTCTCTCCTTCTCCTCCTTCCCCTTGTTGCTCATGTTATGGTGTTTTCAAGGTCAAGGAGCAGAGTTCGATGGCAAGGACAGTTGTCGTTGCGCGCAAGGGTTTGCAAACAGGTTTTCCGCGCGTTTTCAGTTTGTGCAAAGGCAGTGAAGTTTGAACAGAGGAGGAGCGTGTGTGGAGGTTGGTCATGAGAACGCGCCGATGCCGTACCGACAGGTTGAATATTTCTTGATGCGCGATGTTTAGAAGCAATTATGATGATGATGATGATGATGATGATGATGATGATGATGATGATGATGATGATGATGATGGTGATTGAGATGATGATGAAAATGGCGATGAAGAAGCAGAAAAAGAAGAAGATGCTGATGATTATGATGATGCTGGAGAAGAAGATGAAGAAGATGCTGATGATGATGGAGATGATGATGATGATGGTCATGAAATTTATCTTTCTGTCTCGTTTGATTTTCGTCTCACTTTGAATCCAGGGAAAGACGAGCCCACAAGACGCAGCCATTCAACGTTACCACCAGATGTGCCGAGATCAGTTTGGCGAGAATGCAGAGTTTGATGGAGTGAGCAGGTGAAGAATTTTTAATGCTCTCCTCTTCTCCACTTTGCTCTCCTCTCCTCTCTCCTCTCCTCTCCTCTCCTCTCCTCTCTAAGTTCCCCTCTTCTGTTCTCTTCCCTTGTTCTTCCCCTCCCCCCCCCCCCCCCCTCCTCTACCCAGCCCTCCCCGTCCTTTCACTCTCCTTGGCTCCTCTTTCCTATTCCTGGGCTGGGCAGTCACGACCTCTACTCAAACAAGAGAGAAGTTCCCCCTACAGTCCGGGGAAAAAGGGGTTTGAAGAGAAAATGGATCCCCGGACCCCGGAAGAAGAGC